CTGTTGTTTGCAGAAATAGTTCTAGGATAACGCAAAAGGGGAAAAATACCAGCACCCAGATGGTATTGTTTTTTGCTCCAATTATACTGGGATATTAATGCTTCATTCCCCATAGTTAAATGTGTTCCAGGCTGTATTTACAGCGTATCCACTATTCTCTGCCAGCACTGTTACACTTGGAGAATGAAGAAGTTCCTACAAACTAGTACACAAACTGACAAAGTGGCATTTTGAATTGGCAAGGAAGAAAAAGAACAAATGATGAGCAGATTGTTAGCACTACTCTATCCTTTGCAAAAAACAAACACAAAGTTGTTTTGCTTATACTTAAGCATTGTTATAGAGATCCGTAACATTTAAAGGTAGTAGTATTAAAACAGAAATGGGCCATTTTGAGGTCCATTTACTTACACATTTCTAATTAAAACAGCCCTTACACTTCTAGTAGTTTCTTTGAGCCATAGCACACCTCATAACTGGCCACTTGGGCAGTTTCAGCTCAAACCTCCACATATTTTCTGGCACACTAAGAAACATCTTCTGTATTGACTGTATTCTGTATTGATTACATTACTTAGAGTTTTGCTTTAAATCCAGGATTATGTCAGTAATATCTAACATAATTTGTATCCTGACAAAAACATTTGTTGAATATGCTCCTACAGGCAAATGACAAAAATATGGAGAGGCAGGCTGAGGATCTCTCTGCTCCAACTTTTTTTCTCTATAGTCTGAAACATCCTTCAGTATCTTAAGTTCAGTGTATCTTAGCCTCAGATCCATTTTTCCAATATATACATAGCTTCAACGATAGCACATAATTCTTTCAATTTTTTTAATACCAAAATTATAGGAATAAGGCTCAGTGGTTATGAGAACAGGTCTCAAGAGTACCTGATTCTACCTCTGGGTGAAGCTGTGGGTTTGAAAGGCCTTAATTTTCACAGCTGCTGACTAAGGTTATTATAGGGTAGCTATACAGACTAGATGAATGGATGTGAGTAAATTATAAATATGTGTCATAATTATTCCGCTTCCTAGATGTTTTTCAATTAAGTCTTTTTGTCCTTGCCCTAGGTCACTGTCCTTTCATCTCATCTGGGTACCACACTATCCTTTTAATTTCTAAATGGATCTCCATAAGTCCAATCTTATCCATCTGATATAGTAAAATACTGCCTTTCTCAGAATTGGTTCTAAAGACAAATCCAAGAAGTCCAGACAATTTCAAAATCTATTAGTGATTTTTCCTTGGTACATGAGATAAACTAAAAATTCCAGACTGGCATCCATAATTCTCAGAAACAGATTCAGGTGGCACATCAGAAGTGATGGGAAGGAGCCCAACAATATGAGCAAAAATGTTCACTGAATTAATAAAGTGATTTAGAAATTAAGTAGGGACTTTAGTTATACCTCCATCACTAATCAGCTCTGATGTTCTCTTGTGACCTAAATTTCCACATATGGAGGCTGATTATTATTCTTTCTTTGCTCATGTCCTATAATTTTTCCAGCTTTCTTGTCTGGGCACAAAGTCACAACTATGTTTGGTCTAGTCTCTAAATAATTTTTCATATTAAGTTCTGCTTCTAGTTATTCCTATTGCTTAAAAACTTTCCGTCCTTCCCCACTGATATCTTCATGTGAAAATTCTACTCTCCCTACCATATCTAATTTCATCTTACTCAGGAAGCCTCTCACCTAAACTCTTACCTCACCCTCTTTATTTTGGATAAATTTCTTTTGCTGTCAATTTCCTAGAACATTGAGAGTACTCTATTGCACGACTTACTGCAGTTTCCTTCCTTTAAGAGTTATTTTTTTTCTGTTCAAAAGACTATAAGTCTGAAACTTTCTCAGTTTTTAGCAGAGGACCATTGCCTGTGTCGAGTGCTCAATATTTTGAGTTCAGATACTCAGCAACTCTACAGTCAGAAATGTGTCTGCTGCAAATTTCTTACTAACATCCCAGAGTTTCAGGCTCTGGAATGTTAATAAAGAGATTTGAAGGCAAGGAAACACAGCTTTTTTAAAAAAAAAATTCAGTAGGCAGAACACTCTAGATAGAGTTTGACTTATAATTGGTTTCTCAAACTGCAACTTTTAGATCTATTACATCAAATTAATTTGTGATGCTTGCTACAGATGTGAATTCTTGGCTCTACTCAGACTTACTACCTTGACTTCTTTAGCGGAAAGGATCTGGACATCCCTATGTATGTATGTATCTATCTATATTTATATTTTCATACTGGGGATTGAACCCAGGGCTGCTTAACCACTGAGCAATACTGCCAGCCCTTTTATTTTGGGACAGGATCTCGCTAAGTTGCTTAGGGCCTTGCTGCATTGCTGAGGCTGGTCTCAAACTTGAAAACTCCTGCCTCAGCCTCCTGAGAAGCTGTGTTTACTGGCAACATCCAGATTGGACATCTGCATTTTTAATGTGTATATAGTTTTAGTGATTTAAGTCGATCTTATATTTGACTATGTTTCCTATGTTTCTTATGACATCCTATATTTTTTATGACAATATCATAATTTAACAATTCTCGAAGTGTTGTGTAGGGACTCTTGGGTGTCCTTGGGGCTTTTTTTTTTCTTTTTGATGGGGGGCATTGAACTCATGGGTGCTTAACTACTGAGCCACATCCTAAACCACTTTTTAAAATTTTTTTAAATTCTGAGACAAGGTCTTACTAAGTTGCGTAGGGCCTTGCTAAATTTGAGGCTGGCCTCAAACTTATGATCCTCCTGTGTGTGCCACCATGCCTGGCTGGCTGTTCCTGGATCTTTGTCAAAACTGTATTTGTAGTAGTATTAGATCATTTGTCTTTTTCACTTTCATTCTCACTACATGATATGATTTTCCAGAGGCTTTGTGATGAGTGATACTCTGAGAGAATGCAGAAGAAATGAGAATCTAGCTATCTTCTACTAAGACAGGCATTAAAGAAATTTGTAAAAATGTAAAACATAGCCATTCTCAATATTTTTATTTTTTTTTGGAAAATATTCTTTATAAAAATGCTAATTATATTATTATGTAATTAATTCATTATTTTAAAAGGAAACAGATTCTTTAAAAGTTGTTTTGATTTCTAAAATGGTAAATATTGATAGCTGTAATTCACACACACACAAAAACAACTCTTTGAAGTTCTCCGTATGTTTTAAAAGAGTAAAAGGATTCTAATACTAAAACGTTTGATAACTGCAGTTATAAATAACAGGAACACTTAAAAAAGTTTTTTTTTTTTTTTTTTTTTTAGTTGTAGTTGGACACAACTACAACTTTATTTTATGTATTTTCATGTGGTCCTGAGGATTGAACCCAGTGCCTCACACATGCTAGGTGAGCCCTCTACTGATGAGCCACAACCCACCCCGACATTTTTTTCTAACTAATAATTCTCAATTTATTAAAAAGGGTTCTACATCTTTGCAACCAGTGCCAGATTAATACTCATATTTTAAAGATAAGATTAGTATACTTAAGCCATTTATCAAGGTAAGGTAATCCCAATTTTATTCACTTTCCATTGCGACAGAAAAAAATCAGAGGAAACGTTCCAGTTTATATGTATATGATTTTTGTTTGTTTTCCAATTTGGAGTAGGAATTTTTAACAAGTTCCAGATGATACTGATGCACCTAAATTTAAAGAACCATCATCCAGAAGCAAAGGAAAATATCTGAAGGACTTTAAAGGATTAATTATTATATCTGGACATTAAGATAATCCTGAAGGCACTAAGTGTAGGTGGAAGACTTGGATTCTTTTTTTTTTTTTTAATTTTTTTCTTATTGTTGTAGATGGACAGCATGCCTTTATTTTATTTATTTACTTTTTTATGTGGTGCTGAGGATTGAACCCACTGCCTCACACATGCTAGGCAAGTGTTCTGCCACTGAACTCCAGCTCCAGCCCAAGACCTGGATTCTTAAAAGCCGAGTCCCTGCCTGGTGCCCAATTTTCCACATCTTTACAATAAAATGTTTTTAATGCATTTCTGGTTCTGCCAATCAATCAGGGTTTCATGTATTCCCACTGCTCAAGGGCAAATGAAGAGCTGCATCTTTCTGATGAGGGCGAGAACAATCTTAAAGACATAAATCCGAGCATGTCACTCTTCTGCTTAGAAACCTTCAATCATTTTTCCATTGAATTCCACATAGAAGTGAAACTCCTTACCCTGGCTCATAGGCCTCACAAGAATTGGTTCCTAAATCCTTGACCTCATCTCCCTCCCTCCTCATCTTGCCCGTTTTGCTCCAGGTTGTGGCCTTTTTTCTCTTCCTTGACTTGGCTAGGTTTGTTCCAACTATATGGCCCCTACCCTCTGCTTGGAATGCTCTACCCTAGACCTTCATTTGGCTTATTGCTCCCTTCGTTCCATTCCATCGCCCTGTCTAAATTTCTTTAAAGCACTTACTACCATCTTAGATGCCCCTGTTTGTTGACTTGCGTGTGCTGTTTCTCCCACCAAAATGTCAGCGATTTGACAGCGGGGATTTTGCTATTTACTAGTGTGTCCCGGGCGCCAGGACACTGCAGGCAGGTATTTGGCGCTCAGTAAATATTTTCGGTGGCCGAACTCATGCACCCAGGCCAGGCCTTCAAAAGAAGGGCGGGCGTCCCAGATTCCTTCACATCTGACCCCAAAGCACCTGCAACCACTCACTCCTCGGCGACCCCAGCACCTCCCTCGAAGCCACCCGGTCGGACCCCTCACTCACCGAACCCGAACGAAGCGCCTTCCGCCTGAGCGGATGCTTGATCCGGAAGTGTTCTTAAGCAGGCAGCCCGCCTCCGAGCTGAGGGAGTACTTCCGGGCAGTAGGAGCGGCGAGTCAGCGACGGTGGCTCCGGTGAGGGTGGCGGCGGGCTGGGCGTGGGGCTTTCCGGGTTGAGGCAGGCAGCGTCGGGTCCCGGGCTTGGTCTCCCCTGGAGGTCGCTGGGGCTGGTGAGGAGGCGGCCCGAGGGCGGGCGGCGGACGCCTCTCGGCGGGGTGCGGGGGCCGCGGAATGGCTTTGGTTAGCGAAGCGCAGCGTTAGTGCGAGCGACTCTCGTCAGCGTCGGAGAACTTGGGAGCGTGTGTTTACAGCACGTCTCGGGTTTGGGACGTGCAGTTGGATGTGGGAAGAAGGGAGAAAGCTTGTCTGCCCATCCAGAGCAGAAACATTAATAACCATAGTAAGGTTGCAAACTACCGCCTCCGCCGCCAATAGTGACCGCAGCTGTTAACCTGGGAGCTCTTCGGTGACATCGCTGTTCCAGGCCCCTCCCCTGCGTGGTGGAGACTTTAGAGGAGCCGCAGCCGCGTTTGACCGGCGAGGAAACGGAGATGCAGAGAAGCCAAGTTACTTCTGGGCAGGGTTAGAAGAAAGTTGAACTCCGGAGCCAGGCTCTTAGCTGTTAGCTTTGACGCTCTCCATGTGGGTAGTGGAGGCGGGGGCAGCGTATACATGCGTGTGTGCAGTTCTTAAACATGTGGATCAACTCTCTAGTTGGGAATCATTCTCTTACAATTTTGAAAATAACACTCTTGTCATAGAATACCTGGAAAAACTAGAAAAACATTAAATAGTGTAATTCCATGACCTACTATTTATTCTTGTGTGTGTGTGTGTGTGTGTGTGTGTGTGTGCGCGCGCGCGCATGAATCCATTGAGAACCAGGATGGCACAGCCATGTAATAATGACAGTAATAATATAAACAAACATCACAAAACCATTCTTTTTTGGCCTCGCCTAAATGTCTGGCATAGTCTACATGTTCATTAAAGCTTTGTTGCACAAATGAAAAAATAGGAATAACCAGTGTATAATATTTTGCCTTAGTGTTTTATTACATGAATCATGTTTATGCAATATGTATATTACATACTACATATAGCATATAATAGTTGGGTTGTAATCTGGAGACAGTATAAGGAAAAGATACTAAAAATACATATTTATTCAACTACAAAAACATCGAAGTTTGTACAAGAGCTGTGTTGTCTTTCTTATTAGGCCCTTGAAACAAGTGAGGCAGAAATTGCCTTACATTACTTCTTTATCTTCAGAGCTTGTTAAATAGTGGAAATGCAAAAGGTATTGCAGGTGACTGAGTGAATGAGTACTTCTAAATTGTATTTAAATTGGTAGTTGTATCTGAGTTGTTTTTCTCTATTTGGGGAATATAGGTATGTATATCATACCTGCAGACCCTAGGCTCCATGACATTAATCTACCTTTCTAGACTTGTGCCTCCCTATTGTTCTTAATATATTAATTACTCCTGGTAACTGACTGGATCCCCTGTGCATTTGAGCTTTCTCATATATTGTTTCTATAGCCTTGAATTAAATCTCTTTGGTGTATTCATATGTCAAAATCCTAAGTTCCTTTTATGTCAGGTATTGCAAACTTGAATGTCTGCAGGGGCTCACCATGTTAACATAAATGAATGAAGTGGATTTAAGGGGAGATCGTGGAGCATAGGAAGGCACTGCACTGTTTCAGAGGGCCTAACAGCTCTTTGGCATGAGGCAGTTATTATGCTGTCAAATGTGGGCCTACTGTTGCCAGAACTTTGAATTTTACAGGAGAAATTGGAAACTTGTTAACAATTCATTTTTTTTTTTTTTTAAGTTTAAACACTCTACAGACTAAGTTAAAACATCTGTAGTCTTGATTTGGCACTCAGTTTCCCAGTTTGTAACCATTGCTCTAGGCTTATCTCAGATCATTTGTTTATGGATCATACTCCCTGATTCATACAGACAACTTTCTGTTCTTTTAGAACTTTTTTATGCACTTCAGTTATAGTGCTGTTTTCCATCTGTATATATACCTAAAGTGTGTGTGTGTGTGTGAGAGAGAGAGAGAGACAGAGACAGAGCGCGCGCGTGTGTGCGCTTGATTTATTCCCTGGTGATTTTTGGTTAACCTGGGAAATTAATATCTGCTCTTTGTAGAAGGAGCAATATTATCTTGGCTTTAATTGCCAAAGAGCTCTACTTCTGGAAGGAATTGAATTGGGTAACATTGCTATTCAAAAACTGATCTGACAAAAATGTTATCTGATGGCTTAAATAATCTCTGGAAAAAAATTGAATTGGGAATGATTAATAGGAGTTTTGAAGGACATTCAGTAAATGGAAAAATTGACAACTGGGACCTCATCAAAACGAAAAATTGCTCTGTGAAAAATTCTATAAAGAATGAAAAGAAAATCTACAGACTGGGATAAATATATCCACAAACCACATATTAGACAGAGGACTTGAATCTGGAATACATAAAGAACTTTCAACTGTAAATCTAATTAGAAAACCAAATCTAATTAGAAAATGAGCAAAAGATAGAAATAGATATTTTACTGAAGAAGCTATTCAGGTAAGCACATGGAAAGATATTTAATATCCTTAACTGTTGGATAAATGCACTTTAAAAGCCACAGAGGAATGCCACCACATACCTGTTAGAATGGCTCAGATGAAAAATAGTGACACAACTGGTGAGCATATAGAGAACTTGATTACTTGTACATTGCTGGTGGGAAAGTAAAAAGCTATACTACTATGGAAAAGAGTATGACTTTCACATAAAACTAAAGATGAGCTTATTATATAACTAGTAATTATGCTCTTGGTCATTTATCAGAGACAAAAGAAAGCTTATGTTCCTTTATAAACCTGTATGTGAACTTCCATAGTCATTTTGTTTATATAATAGCCCCAAAATGGAAATGGCGTATATAACAGTTGGTAAATAGTTCAATTGTGATACTTTCATACCATGGAATACTACTCAGAAATAAAAAGGAACTATTGGTACAACCTAAGTGGATCTGGAGGGCCTCGTTGTAGAGTCAAAAAATTCTCAAAAGAATATGTTATGATTCCATTTATATAACATCTTGAAATGACAAAATTTCAGATAACAAATCAGTGATTGGTTACTATGGGTTGGGCAAAATATGGGAAGTTGCCATGGCTAAAATATAGCAGAAGGGATTCTTATGATTGAACTTTTTTTAAAAAAATCTTGACTGTGGGTAGTAGTCACAAGCATCTATGCAGGTGGCTCTTTATATCCATGGGTTCCACATCCATAGACTGAAAATATTTGGAAAAACGATTATATCTCTGTTGAACCTGTACAGACTTTTTTCTTGTCAGTATTCCCTAAACAATATAGTGTAACAACTACTAACAGCATTTACAGTGTGTTAGCTATTATAAGTAATCTATAGATGATTCTATGAAAGGATGTGTGTAGATATATGCTAATATTATACAATTTTATGTAAGGAACTTGACCATTATTTTGCTATCATCTGGGAGTCCTAGAACCAATTCTCCAAGGATACTAAGGGATGACTGTATACGTGATAACATTTTATAGAACTATATACGGACATATTAGGGCCTGTAACACTGGTGAAATCTGAACATGATGGGTGGATTGTGTCAGTGTCAGTTTCATGGTTGTGATATTATTCTGTACTTACACAAGTTGTTACCAGGGAAAGTAAATGAATGTATATGGAAAATCTATTATTTCTTATACTGCATGTGAATTTATGAAAATCTCAAAAGATCTAAATAAGTAATTTATATTAAAAAAATCCTGTGTAAGTAATTTTGTTCTTGGGCTTATGTTTTACTAGGTGATGTTCTAATCATGTCGGATAAAGATGATATTGAGAGTCAAGTGATAACTGAAGCAACCCTGGTTCTTGAAGAAGGAAACTATGAGCCAGCCAAGAATACTGAGTCTGTTGACCAAAGTGCTAAGCCAGATAGTAAATCTGAACCTGTAGTGTCCACTCGGAAAAGGCCAGAGGTCAAATCTTCTAGTGATCTTGAAACTTCAGAAGTTCTCCCTGTTCAGGTATTACAGGCTGCAGCCAAAATAGAATATCTGTTAAAATATTGGTATTTAAAAATGTTTGAGTTAAAAGTGACTTGGATTCAATGCTAATGTAAGGTTGCACTTAGCTTTGTTTTGTAGAACCATAAGATACATTTTCTCAGTTGTATAAATGCCTTTAGAAGAACTTGTCTTTGCTACTTGGTGCTTACATGGTGATAATATACATCTGTTAGTCAAGCAAGTGTATCTCTTATACTTTTGCTAAATTATTAGATATCTTGTCTAACTTTCTGATTCTAATTTTTCTATTTTATTTTTTCTTTTGTTTTTCTTCTTAACTGGGAAAAATAGGAGCCTGTTTCCAAAGATGTACCCCAGACTGGATGGGGTTATTGGGGAAGTTGGGGAAAGTCCTTACTTTCTTCAGCCTCAGCTACAGTAGCCACAGTAGGTAAGTCATCAGTAGTTTCATTATTTTTTATATTCATTTTGCTACAGACTTATGTTATACATGATTTTGATAATAATCCTTCCTTTTGTGATTACTCAGAGGCTTTATAGTTGTGGGTGGTTAAATAATGGGCTGATACATATTGCCACTAGAATTTGAAGCATTTTTTCATTAGAAAGTTCAAATCTGGGAATTGTTATAAAATATGAGTTAAATTTTTTATATTAGCTATGTATTGTTAAAATAATATATTCTATGGCCATAATAATTTTAAAAACATGCAGATATTATTTTTGCTTTGTTTCTTTAGTTTTGGTAGCAAATAGCAAAAAATGTTATTTGTCTTAATAGGACAAGGTATTTCAAATGTCATCGAGAAGGCAGAGACTTCTCTCGGGATCCCTAGTCCCAGTGAAATTTCAGCTGAAGTCAAGTTTGCAGCAGGTTAGTATAAAGAAACATTAAGGCCCAGGGTTTTGGATTAAAATGGAACAGTTAAGCTCATTTTTCAGTAGGTATATATTAAACATCTAATGCAGGGTATCATGGGACTGTGACAAGAAAGAGGATTAGGAATCTTTAGCTGTCAGAGGTCTGTGTCCTCTGACCAATCATGTGTCTTTTCACTTTCCACATCTACAAAATAATCTTGGAACTGTTATAAACATTAATAAAGCTATGAATATAGAATATGAGAATGTTTAACATTTTTCTTGGTATATTTAAGTGACCCACATGTTAGCTGAATTTAAATCTATTATGGCAAGAGAAAAATATTTTAATGAATAGTTTGTGGGTTGTATTTTTTTTTTCCCCTTTGGATTTTAATGAGGGTGAAGTTTTATTCTGAACACTTGCCTTGATCAAAGGGAAACATACTCTCACTGAAACCAGGAATCAGGAGAGCCTGGGACCAAATAATAGAAAGTTTTTCAATACCTGGTTTGCTTTCTGTGTCAGGGACTTTATTTTCTCTCATTATTCTCTTTGCTCATCTATGCCATTTTTTTTTTTTTTTAAGCAAACTGATTCTCTGTGCTTGTCTTCTAGTTCCAACTTTATATTGAATCCTAGTATTTATCCCCATCTGAGACCAACTGGCATCAGTTATTTCTGAGTTCCTAGGAGAGACAATTAGATTGGCCTAGACTTGAGTCACTTGTCCATGGGCGGGAGATGAGATCACATTATACAAACATGTCTGCAAAGGACTTTGTCTGTGAGTTTGAGGCATTGTTCTTAGTGATGTTCTTAGATTACTCTGCTGAAAATAACAGAATAAGTGACTAAGAATGAGTTTATTTTTCTCACTGAAGAACTTCAGAAATAGTCTGTTGCAGAGATAGTTCATTGATGTTGGGGTTCTGGGTTGGCTTCTCTCCTGTTTTCTTTTGTTGGTTTCTTAATGGCTGCCAGATAATACTGCAACTCCAAGTATGATTTTCTAAAACAAGAATGCTCTCAAAGTCAGGAATTAAGTGGAAAGAAAGTACCATTTTCCCTCTTGCATCTCTTTAAAATGAATAGTTTTCCCCAGCAATTCTCAGTGCACTTCTTCTCAGAAATCGTTAACTAGAACAGGTCATGCTGAAGCAGAGAGAAGGTTTTGGGCATTGTTATAAACTTCCATCTCAGGAGTTGGGTTCTTTTGCTCTCCTTTTGTTGACAGGTAGTTATGGTATAGCTTAGATTGATACTTTCAAGGCATTATTAAGCTTGTTTAGGGTGAGTCTAGAGTAGCCTTTACTCTGAGGGCTTGTTTGTTTATTATTTATTATTTATTTATTTATTGCTAAGGCCTGACTTCTGAGGTTTTTACTCAATTCCCAGTTGTTTAAAGAGCTCTTTTTACTTTGGTTGGTTGAAATTCAAATGTTTCAGCTTAGCATGAGCTCTGGGGATAGTTTAGCTTACCACTCCATAGCAGTCCTCCACCCCCAACTTTGTGGAGTCTCCTAGTGCCTGAGCAGTGTGGTATTCAGCCAGAGACACAGGGCACACCTGTGTAGTTTCTTGGACCTCTTAACATATGCAGCTGCATCCTCTCTAGTTGGCTTCAGTCTTTGTTCCACTCATTGTGATGCTGTGTTATGCTGAATTTCCCCTCCTTGTGTTGTGGTTTGTTTGGAAAGTTCTTCTTGACAGAAAGTCAACCCATTTGTAGGGTTCATGTTATTCCTTTTTATCCTGTACCACATCGTGAACTGCCTCTTTCCAGTATCTGCAAAAGGCTGTTTCTTATATTTTGTCCAGTTTTGCAGTTGCTGTGGTAGGAGGGCAAGTCCCGTACCAGTTAATTCATTGTAGCTGGAAGTAGAAGTCCTCCCTATAATAGAGTATTTGATATAGTTAGATTATTTGATGTAGTTGATCTCCTAGAAGTTTTTTAAAATGAATAAAATAGAACAGTTTATTTGAAATATACTCTTTATAATGCACGTCTGATTCCTACTAATGGGCATGATTTTCTAGGATAAAATTGAGTTATAAATTATATATAGTAAAATTTGATTTTTAGCTATGTAGGTTTTTGTGCTTCAAGAAATATATGGATGGCTATGTTGGAATACTATGTAACCATAGTACGTGTAGTTATACATATATAGAGTATTTCCTATATAAACTATTGGGATATAAAAGAATTTTCACTAAGAAAGTTCCTTTATGCCCTTTGTAGTTACTCTCTCCCATCTACTACCAGCCTTTGGCAAGCACAGATCTATTTTCTGAACCTCTAGTTTTACCTTGTTCAAAAGATCATTATCACTGAGATTATTCAGTGTATAGTCTGATGTTGTATAGATCAGTAGTTTGTTCTGAAGATTGGATTTTATATTTGAAATGAAATGAAAATGAAAAAAAAAAAAACCTGCCTATTTGAATTTTCAGTTAAAATGGGCAAATTGTTTAAAATAATGAAAAGACCTAAGGACTTAAGTGTAGGAACTGAGTCTACACTTTAAAAAGTCACATAGATGCTAGTAAAGAAAACAATTAATGAATCTTCCTTCCTTTTGTAGGAGAGACAAATGCCAAAGAGAATGAAAGCTCCTCCCCAGTCATGGGGCCATTTGGTGTATTCTCGACCATTTCTACAGCTGTTCAGAGCACAGTGAGTAAAAAGTGCAAAGTGGCCTGCTCCCTTCTGTTTTTATAATGGATTTGTATATCTTTCTCCTTCTTTTCCTTGAAAAACCTTGAGAACTGATTACTCTTAAGGGAGTCCAAATCACTGAAGATCAGTCACCTCTCAGGTCAAGTAAAAGCTTTTTTGAAAGAAATAAAGGAATATAAGATGGAGAGTTAGAGAGGCTATGCACATGATATTTCTTTTTTATGTTTTCTTTGTACATAATATTTTATGGACCAGGAATTCTTAGTTTGGTGACCTAGGAAATGTCTCTGCTTTTACAAAGACATTTTTCTCTTAATTGTATCTTAAGTGGGCAGGAGGGCTAGGGCGGTGTGTGATCTTTATGGTAGACACTTGTAAAACTACAGATGATAAAAAGCATTTTAAATAGAATAATGTAAGACACTAATTTTCCTACACAAGTGAGGGTAGATAGCTAATACTTTTTTTAAAATTTTTGTTGAAGTATCATAAGTGTTCAGTGTAAATGTTCGTGTTATTAATATACCTAGTCCTCCCACTTGTGTCCTCTTCTCTGCCAAGATAACCATAGTCTTGATTTATAATATCATAAGTTAATATTGCCTGTTTTTATACTTTATATAAATGGAATTATAGAGTATATACTTGTTTGTATTTGGCTTCTTTCATACAACATTATGTTATCCATGTTACAGTTTGTATGGATTTTCTTTGCTTTATCCCTTTGTGTGACTGTCACTTTTTTTCTTTAATTCCACAATGGTAAGCATTGGGTTAATTTCCAATTTATAGCTATTACAAATAATTCCGCTATCATCATTCTTGTTCATATTTTCTGATGTGCCTCTGTACATATTTCTCTTGAGTATATAATCATGAGAGGAATTGGTGGTTCATACAGCTGTAATAAATACTGACTAAAAGTTTTTCAAAATGGTAACACCTATTTACATTTCCACAAGCAGTGTATAATTGCTTCACTTTTTCTACATTTTTCTCAATGCTTGGTTTGTTGGCCACTATTTTTAAATAATCAAAATATGCAAATATATTTTCTTAACATTGCTGTAATGAAGTTTATGTGTTTTCTAGGGAAAGAGTGTTATCAGTGGGGGTTTGGATGCCTTAGAATTCATTGGAAAAAAGACAATGGATGTAATAGCAGAAGGGGATCCTGGATTTAAAAGAACCAAGGGTCTGATGAATCGGAATTCTACACTGTCTCAGGTACTTTCTTCTTTACCTGTTTGATTCTTGTTTCTGTTTTGATTTGCATTTTTGCCTTTGCTAACTTGGGACCTTCTTAGGGTTTCCTTTTGAAGAATCTTTAGTGATTTTTAAAATTTAAGCTACTGAGGTAGGGAGGAGGTAGGGAGAGCTTGAATGCTTAAAAAAATGCCTAGCTCTTTTTTTTTTTTTATCCTTTTTTCATTCTGTAGGAGTTTCCTGTCAGTGAAATGCTAAACCCTGTCAAAGTTGTTTATTAGATTAATGTTTAAATCACTTTTGGAGAAACACCTGGTTCCTTGGGTGTTATTTACACTAGCATCAAATTATATGTTATCATTTTTTTCCCTGCATCTCCTGAGCCTATTGGATTTGAATTGCAGTGCCAAAAATGAAAGGGCAGTGCTCTGAACTCAGCTTTACTTCCCTCCACTCTCAGAACTCACCCTTGAGCTCTCATTATTTGCTTCAGTGTAACACCTCCATCTCTTTTTAGGTCTTAAGAGAGGCAAAGGAGAAAGAAGAGCTGTGGACCTCCAATGAGGTTACCATGGAAACTGACAAGAAAACTCATTATGGGCTACTCTTTGATGAATTTCAAGGCCTTTCACACCTAGAAGCTCTGGAGATGCTTTCCCGAGAAAGTGAAATAAAGGTAAATCCAAACTAAAAATCCCAGCTGAGAAGTCTTCAAATAAAGGAATGCTGCATAGCTTCTTTTCTCTTTCCACATTAGGAAGATGAAATGTGTTTCCAATGGAGGCTTGAGACTCTATGGAAATACTATACCAGAACAAACAAGAAACTGATTTTGAACAAATTGCTAAAAAGAAGTAGGATGAACCAAGTGTATTTCTGTAAAATTACACAAAAAAGGATAGATTAATAAGGAGGTCCTTAATAACACATCTGCTATTTTTCCTATACCTCAATCTTTTTTTTTTAATAACCCCCAGTTTCTTTGGTTTCAGCTGCCAAAAACCTATTGACTTAAGCTGTTAATTTGTATATGGTTAGCTTTTAATTGATTCAAAATGATTTAATGTTCCTCCCTGATTTTTAATTTGTTTTTAAGCACTAATAATTTCCAGATGTCTCTAGCTTTTGTTAGTTTTGGAAGTACAGATTCTCCCTACCTTTCTGTAATAATTATCCTCTTGTGTTGCTGGTGAGCTCATAGTTCTGACTTCAGTTTGACCTATTGTGTCTTCTCCAGTTGAGAATTGTTTTTTCCTTTTCAGACTCTTACAGTTTTTTTTTTTTTTTTTAATCTCATATACATTTAGGTGAAATCTATCCTTAATTCTTTAAGTGGAGAAGAATTAGAGGCACTAAAGTTTGAATTAGAGCAACTCAAAGAAGCATTTTCCCTGGCAGAGTTTTGTGAAGAAGAGGAAGAAGAGAAAAAAGGTAATGTGAAAATTCATTATCTGAATGTAGAGGATGCAGTGTGTTTGTATGCAGTGGTTTGCCCATGAAATAAATTATTTATTCTCTAATTATACTAGTTTGATTTTACTTTTTTCAGTAACAGTTTTCATGCAGACTCCTTTCTGCAGCCTTTCCCCTGACTAGTCATTGAAATGAGCAAGTCATTCTCATGTCCAGGTCTACTCTTCTTTTCACTGCCAGACTCTTTGGAGCTTCTCCAAGTCTATTTTTTGTGTGTGTGTGTGTGTGTGTGTGTGATAATAGGAATTGAACCCAGGACCTCACACATGCTGAGCTATGTCCTCAGCCCTTCCAAGTCTAATCTTGCAGAACACATCTCTTGACTCTTTTTTTTGTCTTTTTTTTTGCAGTCAGAGATGCTCTTGTCAGATTCTTTCCTCAGTTTGTCAGGCCATCCCTATGAGCATCTGTATATCTAGATACTTTACCTATGCTTTTCTGACTTCTGTGACCCCCTAACCCCATCTTGAATTGAAGCCTGCAAGATGGCAATTATCCAAAATGTGGATGATACTTTGTTTTTTATTTTATTTTTTTATTTTTACAAATTTTGTCTTAAATTTTAATATCTGTATTCCTTGGGAAATATAGACATTGAAACTATTCATTTTTGTAAAATTATCAGGAAACACGATAGTTATATATATAGCACAATTTCTAGGCAACTGAATCTTAAGCTCTAAGGGTTGTTTTTAACATTAAAAAAAGTTTTTTTAGTATCTTTATTTTATTTATTTATTTTTTATGTGGTGCTGAGGATCGAACCCAGGGCCTCACACATGCCAGGCGAGCACTGTACTGCTAAGCCACAACCCCAGCCCCTGTTTTTAACATTTTTAGCTGGAAATATTTCTAAGATATATTCTCTACTAACTGACTTCTTTTAGAAAGTGGAGTTAATGAATATAGTTTGCCTTTTCTTGATGAAACATTTAATTATAAACATTATTGAGTAGAAAAATTCTCTCATGGTTCATCAAAACATAAAGGGCTGGTTACCCATGTGGTAGATTAAATCAGTGGTTCACAAAATATGGTCTGTGCATTCTTAAGTCCCTAAGACCCTTTAAGGGTGTTCATGAGTCAAAATGGCATAATAATATCAATATGTAACTTACTTTTAGAAAAATTTTTGTTTTATTTTTCACTGTTTTGATATTTTATCTTCACTATCATTGAACTTGCTTTGAGTCTCATTTGGATTTTTATTTTTAATTTATATGAGCGGGAACCCAAACAGTTAATCTTATTCAGGTTTCTATTGAGAGAGCAAAGATCTCCTAGTGTAGGTTTTAGGGCCTTGTCTATGAGAGGAGGACAAAAAATTGTGTAGATTCTGCATAGATAAAGACTTTTACTCTTTTGTTTCTTTTTGTGTTCTTATTGGGTTCTAAGTCAAGATGTCTGGTTATGTAACATCTCATTAATCATACCTTATTCTGTATAAAGGTACTATTATTGATTAGAAAATGGTTTTTGAAAGTCATCCTAAGATATTGAGATTGTGGTTTAGCTTAATGAATAAAAAAATGACTTTTTAGGTTAGACTTGGGTTCATATTTACTAAGTCTTGTAACCTTGAGAGATTACTTAACAGTGAGCTTCTGTTTCCCCATTGTAAGAACAGGATCTAATTCCTCTCAGGTTGTTATAAGGGCTCAACTAAATATTATATTTAATGTGTGGCACATTAGTAAGCATCCAGTAAATGATGGCTATTTTTAGGTTCATTATTAGGGAGATATAAATAAAGGGATAAAAATCTGCATTTTAAAAGTCTAACTTAGCAGGAAAGCAGTAACTTGATTTTGATTTGTTCCATAAATATGACAGTGTCCAGTTACTTACAAACATTTAAGTTATTTGTGCATGCATTAATATTATTTGTTCAATTTAGTCAACATCTGGCTTTGCATATTATTAGAAATTCTGATCTTTAAACACTAGAGGACTCTGAGGAGTTTTATAATCGAATGGTTTAGTGTCTGTGATACTTTACCCCTGTCTGTTTGCCAGAGATCAGAACTTTGAAGATACAGCAGTGAATTCTAGGACAACATCCCCATCCTTCACCCTGCCTCTGCCCTCCTAAGTGATTTTGATTGAGAATGGAATAGTGTCTTTAGTGTTTAATTATAGCTCAATGAAGCTGTTAAAAATAATGGAGGTTGCAAATAGGAGAGAAAAATCATAGAACCTGGTTCTGGTGATGTTGGTCATCTTCATTTTTCATCAGCATCCCTAGCCCTTGCTCCTCACTTTACATAAGAGGGAATCATCTTGCTTGGGGAGACTCCAGCCTCTCTCATGAGTCCCTCCAAAGCACTAGCCCTGTCTCTCTTACATCTTTACAGAATTTTATTCTAATGCAACAGCTACTTTTTTATGTTCATTTCCATGGAAAGTATGTGATTGTGATCTCTTAAACATTTTTTTGATCATAAATTTTGCCAGCAAAAATTTATTGATAACTTAGACATTAATATCTATCTTTACACACATACATATACATACATATAAATGTTTATAAATTAAATACATTTAAATACCATGTTATTTACATTCTGAATTATACCCTAAATTAGAATTTTTTAATAGAATGAGTGTCCATAAATAAAAGCAGATTATTTTTTCCTATATGCCTTTAGATTATTTTGTGAACCCTTTGAGATACAGATTTAGAATTTCTGTGGATTCAGATTCATTCCCTGCACCCAAATAATTTAGGGCTTAGTTAGGAAATCACAGTGGCTATCAGAGTCAGATTTTAGATTTTTTCATAGCAGGATGTCATTAGGTGTTTAGATGAGTTATGTGGGGTTAGAGTTGTGTCAGTGAGATCAGCTTTTCCCAAGCCATGTTGTACTTGAGATTATTAAATCAATTTAATTCTCAACCTTAAATGCCAGAATGAGGAACAAAATGATAGTGGATGGAGAGAAGAGCCAAGATATATTTCCCCTTCCCTGGGGATTTTTTTGGGAAATACCAGGCATAAAATAAGTAACAATTTGCCCCTGTAAGCCATTGACTGGTGCTTAAGAAATGCTCATAAAGATTTTAAGTGCTTAAAGATTTCTTTACACAAGAATTTTCTTTTACATTTCATGTTGCAGAGGAGCCTTAGGTTGGGCCTCAAAGGGGAGAATGGATAGAATTTTTTAAAATTTCTTCTGGAGTTGTAGGTGGTCAGGATGCCTTTATTTTTATGTAGTGCCGAGGACCGAACCCAGTACCTCACACATGCAAGGCAAGTGCTCTGCCTCTTAGCTACAGCCCCAGTCCTGGGTAGAATTTTGATGGTAGAGAGGGAAATAGATTCTTGCCATTCACTTAGAGATCTTGATCTTGACTCACGCATTTGTTTGTTTCTCAAATGTAGGTGTTCTATATTCCTATCAGCTGTGACTGGGCTAACTCCAACAGCTTCCTTAACCATCTTTCCAACATTCTGGAATAGCCTGTTCTTTTCATTTCTCAGTGTCCACTATTATATCTTTCCTGGATCATGGATTTGTACTTCAGCCTTATTTCCCTTTTTGTTCCCCTTCTTATCCATTCTTCACCTAGCAGCCAAAGTAATCCTCTGTAATTTAAATTTGATCGTGTCTGTTTGCTTAGAATCATTCAGTGGATCCTCAGTATAAAGTTTGAGTCCCTCATCATGGCTCCCAAAGCCCTTTATTTTCTGGATTTTACTCCCCTTTCTAGCTTCTTAATACTTTTCCTCTTATATTAGACACTTTTACCACATTAAACTTCTTGCCATGCTTTCTTATATCCCCGGATCTTTGCACTTGTTTTCTCTCCCTGAAACTTTTTCCATTCTCCTTACTAACTGTTCTCATCTTTTGTGACTCAAATTCCATTTCCTTGGAAGCACATGCACAGTATCTGTTTAATTAGTGCTCTACCTTCACCATTTCTTCATTATGGGATGTAATGCACTGGGAGCGGGGAGGGCCAAGGTTTGACTACTATTGCTGTGCAATCTTGTGGAGATCACTTCATCTTTTCAAGTTCTTGTTCTTCAACTCTAAAATGGGGTAATGACACTTTTTTTTTTTTACAAGCTTATTTAAAACATTCATTGATATAATATACATTAAAAAAAAAAAAAAGAAGATTCTGTGTAAGCACTGAAACTCCAAGCTCATGTAAATTGCTGCTGCTGCGGCTGCTACTATTGTTATTAATACTACTGCTACTGCTACCACTCCTCTTCCTTCTCACCCTCCTCTTGTTCCTCAGTAGTTTTTCTGGAATGTTTTACACGGGACTTGGTTTTTTAGGGGATGAAGATTTTACCAAAGAGGTAACAGAGCTGTTTTCTCAAATGCACGTCTCCTCCAAACCAGAGAAACTTGCCAGGGTAAGTTGTTACTTTTTGGTAATTTTTATTATTTTATCTTAAATAGTTTAGTAGAAAAGACCATAAGATCATAAATTCTGGCCAGGGGCGTCATCAAAATTAAGGATATATTATCAACATACCCAGAAAAGTGTTCCACACCTTCCTGCCTCCTGTTCTCCCCAGGGTGGTGGGCTGAATCTGTATCCACCTCTGCCAACACGTCCTATCCTCACCTGTTATCATTTGGGATGCTTTGCTTATCTGAAAGCTTAATTTAGGCCAGAGTGTTTGTAATTTGAAGTTGGCACTACTGACCGAATTTCATGATACCAAAGGGCAAGCCTCTGTTGAGGGCTCATTGATCTCAGGGCTTTGCAGAGATGATGAGTATGACTTGAGGCTGTCATTTCCCAAAGCTCAATGACTCAGATAATGACCATTTAGCATGTGGAAATGAAGAGTCTCAGGCCAAAATCTTAGTCTTTGGTGATGAGTTCTGAGTTGTCTTCAATACATCTGGAACATACACTTTATCAAAGCTCAGAGTGAATATGGATCCATTCTTTCCTTCTCTCCTTTATAAAAATAGAATATTCCTTAAAAAAAATAGAATATTCCTTATTCAGGGGTTTATCTTATGTTTTCTCATGCTTAAAGTTAGGCTATGCATTCCAAAGGCCAAAATGCCCTGGGAATGGATCATGCCCAGTTCCAGTGGATCATGGGCTCCTTCCTGCCTCTACACCCATCTCTTGCAGGATCGAGAACTATTTCAGTATTAATCAGCTGGGGGCACACATTGCTTCCTGGCCAGAGGGCTGATAGCCATTCTGTCTTCAACATACTCATCTTCTCTCCCATACCCCAGGGTAAGGAATATGAAGCTTAGTGTTTTATCCCAGTCTCCCATGATCACTGGAAATATTGTATTCTCCAGGAAAGTTTTTCACACCATTCTTAAGCAGCTCATCTTCCTCATCTTAATTGTAGTCCCTTACCATAGTATTTTCAATCTTGCATTACAGTATTTTTTTATGAAATAATATGAAACAGAAATGTTGCAGAAGTAGTATAAGCAATGTTCATGTACCTTTTATGCAGATACACTGTTGTTAACATTTTACCTCATTTACTTAATCATTTCTGCTTACACATACACATGTATGCATGCACACACCCCTCATTTTTGTAACCATTTGAAAGTTGTAAACATCATAGCTCTTTACTCCTAAATAATTCAATGTATATTTCTAAAAGGATATGAATATCTTCTTGCATAGCTAAAGTATAGTTTCCATCTTCAGTAAATTTAATGTTAATACTATACTTTCATTTACTCTGTTGTTCTTATTCCAGTTTTGTCAGGTGATTCAGTGATATTCTTCATATCATGTATTTTCTTCTGACACCAGAGCCAGTTCATGGTCATGACTTGTATTTAATTGTTGTGTACTTTTAATCCCTTTAATCTGAAATATTTTCTCATCCTTTCTTTGTCTTTTATGACATTGACATTTTTGAAAAATACACACTTCCCTCTCTTTATAAAAAGAGAATATTCCTTATTTCTGGGGCTTATCCAATGTTTTCTTTTGCTGGAAATTAAGCTGTGCATTCCTATGGCCAAACTGCTCCATAAGGGATGGCCTGTCTTGCCCAGGGTGTCAGATTTAAAGGCTCATGATGTCCATCTGCTCCTTACTGGTGATGTGTTGTCTGATTTCTCTTTGTGGAATCATAATTTATTTTCATTTGCTTCTAATATGCTTTCTGTGGAGATATACTTTAAGACCCCACAAATATCTTGCTTTTCATCATAATTTCCCTCCTAAATTTAGCTTCTATTTATAATTCTTGTTGCAACAGTCTTTATTGTGAGGATTGCAAAGTGATATTTTTCTAGCCTCAGCACACTCTCCACATTTACCAGTAGGCTTTGAGCATTCTTCATTTTTATCAAGAGCTCTGTCCCCATTTTGTTTTCTTCCTTCCTTTTTTTTTTTTTTTGTCTATTATTGGTATGATTTTGTGGATTTTGACTTTTTCTTCATTGATTTGCAGTTCAACTCTGCCTCAGTTATTTTTTTTTTTTTTTTGAGAGAGGGAGAGAGAAAGAGAGAATTTTTTAATATTTATTTTTTAGTTTTTGGTGGATACAACATCTTTGTTTGTATGTGGTGCTGAGGATCGAACCCGGGCCACATGCATGCCAGGCGAGCATGCTACCGCTTGAGCCACATCCCCAGCCCAGCGTCAGTTATTTTGATGTTCATATTGTCCTTCAGGCTGGCTCCTCTGTGACACGCCCTATCAATTCTTTATTTTCTGGCATAGCAAGGTAGTATAGACTCATCTCGTACCCTCCATCTCAGCCCTGGAATTAGCTGTTCTTTCAAGAATCCACAGTTCCTTTTTAGTGTTATAGATCATGACTAAGTGTCCTCATTGCTATTGGGGTGTCTGTCTCTAGGCTCTGTCAGTACAGCTAGGAGATATACTTAGGTACACACATACATGTATATGTGTAGATACATAAATATGCTCATATGTGTACATTATTTTAGGAATTGATTTCATACTAGTAACTCCAATTTTAATCTGCTCCCACAGGGTTTGTCCTTGCCTTTTCCTAGACCTTCTTCCACAGTAAGAACCTTATCTCCCAACAATACTAGCACATATTCTTAATGATTTAATGCATTTGTAATAATTTCATTGTTTTGCCCATACTATTATAAATCAACCTACAGAAAGAATTTATGATTTGTTTGCTGTCCCCTAGAGTATTAACGTGCTTCCAGAAGTCAAAACTATACAAAAAATATACTCAGAAAAGTGCAATTACCTCCCAAGTCTCTACTACTGCCTTCTTTTTTATATGTTCAGCTTCCTTGTTTTCTGGCTTGTACTTCCTTTTCTTTTTTGTAAAGATAAGCAGATATCTCTTTCTTACACAAAAATTAACATACTCTATATGTGCTTTAGCACTCTATTTAACATTGTGCATATGTATTTTCATAGCTTTTTTTTTTTTTTGATGGGGAGGGTACTGAGAATTGAACCCAGAGGAAATTCACTGAGCTACATCCCTAGCGCTTTAAATTTTTTTTTTTTTTTTTTTAATTTTAAGACAGGGTCTCACTAAGTTGCTTAGGGCCTTGCTAAAGTTACTGAGGCTGGCCTCAAACTTATGATCCTCCTGTCTCAGCCTCCCAAGCTGCTGGGATTACAGACATGCACCACTGCATCCAGCTTTTCATACCTTTTTAAAATATATCTTACCTCCTAACGTAAATCTTAATTTTTTGAAGTCACAATCTATACATATATGTAAAGTCCCAGCTCTATACCTCTTATAATCTGTGTGACCTTGAGCAAGTTGCTTAACCTTTCTTTGCCTCAATTTCTCTATTTATGAGGTGGAATAGTATAGAATTCTTATGAGAATTAAATGTGTTAATATACACAAAACTCTTCAAAAATGCATGATTCATTGTGAATAATGCTCACTTTGATGGCATCACAGAAGCTAGCTGATGTCTAGTACATTCAGATGTTCCATAAGCAAGCATATATTCAGTTAACCTTCATTATGCTAGGTATTTATCTAGGTGCTAGGGAAATAATGAGAAAGACAGTTTCCATGTTCTTATAAATCACACTAATAAACAAATATGTTTAAAATAACAGTTATCTGTGTGTTAGTTCTAGCTACTCTCTGAAAGCAGTCTATTTAAATTTGGGGCATTGAGATTTAAGATGTAGGATAAAGATCAGCCAAGGTCTGATTGTTCCCGTATGTGTGATAAAGGGAAAGGAGCACTGAAGTAGAATCTGGGAATATGATTCTAATTCTCATTTGGACACTCACATATGTTATTACCTTGGTAAATCCCATTCCTTCTTCAGGCCATATTATTTCTCAGTTGGAAAAAAATCAGTTGTTGGAAAAGCTGAGCTCAAAGGTGCCTTTTAACTCCTAAGATTCCAGATCTCACCAGTGGGAAGTTCTAGGCTGAATCATGGAAGTGGATAACAGTTTTGGAAAAGGCTGAAAAATTATCCTAAACTGGCACAGTAGTTCATAATGACTTCACTTAATGTACTATAAGAGAGGTCATTTGGGTATGTACTATGCCTACTAAAATATCTCCTTTAATATATTAAATGTATGCTATCAGTTTTCTTTTTTTAAAAATGTGGTTTTATTGCTTTCTATTTTTTTTCTATTAAAATCTCAGATAAATTAATTCTTAGTTTTTTTCTCATTTTATCTCTTCAAAGAAATTACAAAGAATTTCACTTACAGTTTGGAATATTAGGCAACTATTAGGATTCCTTCCAGTTAGGATTCCTTCCAGTTTCCTATGTCACTCTTCTATAAAACTCACCACTCTGACCTCGTCTCCTGTCATGTTCCCCCATCCTCTATATTCTTCCCATACTGGCCTTTGTTCTGTTCCTCAAATATACCAAGCTGCTTTCCCTGTGCTTATGGGTGTCTTTGCCTAAATATTTGTATGTTCGACCCCTTTTTACCCTCCACAGTGCAGCTCAAATTTTACTCCTCAAAGACCTTTCCTAACCACTCAAATTCAAGCCACCGTCTGCTCATCTAATCCTATACTCTCTATTATCCCATTTTATTTTATTTATGCATGTGTTTATTTGCTTTCTTATTAATTATCTTCCCTCTCAAGAATAAAGAAGAGCAGATCCCTAGTTTGGATCATTCATTAGTGAATCTGTAGCACCTAGCACAGTATGCAGTATATATTTATAATAAATGAATGAATAAATGCCTGCATCCTGTGTACTGTGATCTTGCTAGGTATCTCAGATTTTGCTCTGCACTTTGAGTTTTCCTGATTCTGAACCTTTGTTTAGGTTATTCTGTTTGGTTTTGTGCACTTGAGAGGTTAATGCTTAAGTAATGGGAAGGTTTGGGTTACAGCCAGATTATTCCTGTAAGTTCTTGTTAGAGGTTCTATGCCATAGGGGCAAGGATCCTGAAATGAACGTCTGGATATACACTTGTTTTGTAGCCTCGCACGCAACCCTACCTGGGCTGAGTAATAAAACCTGTGATTCTCTGTTAGAATAACTCTCAAGGTTGTTTGTAAATTCCTATTACCAGGTTACAGCCTTAAATATATTCTGTCTATATAAAGTTAAGTGAATGCTTTCATTTAATGACAGTAAATGCTTCTTGAGAAACCAGGAAATTTTTTCTTTTTTTAAATGCCTCCACATTTAATTTTCTTTTTCTTATTAGTTGCTCATGACAATACAATGATCTTGACATATCATACATTTGATTCAAATGGGGTATGAATTCTCATTTTTCCATGTGTACTGGTTGCAGGATCACATTGGTTATACGGACACGTATATACATACAGCAGTACTAGTGTCTATTTTATTCTGCTGTCCTTCCTATCCCCCCCTTCCCTCCCCTCCCCTCCCCTCACCTCTCTCTACCCAATCTACTGTGACTGCTTTCTCTTTTTTTTTCCTTCCCCCTCACATCATCATACATGTATTTTGTATAACAAAGAGGGTCTCCTTCCATCTTCCGTGCAGTTCTCCTTCTCCCTCCCATTCCCTCCCCCCTCTCTTCCCTATTTAATGGTAATCTTCTTCTCATGCTCTTCCTCCCTACTCTTATTTTGAGTCACCCGCTTTATATCAGAGAAGACATTCGGCATTTGTTTTTTAGGGATTGGCTAACTTCACTTAGCATAATCTGCTCTAATGCCATCCATTTCCCTGCAAATGCCATGATCTTGTTATTTTTTAGTGCTGTGTAATATTCCATTGTGTATGAATGCCACATTTTTTTTTATCCATTCATCTGTTGAAGGGCATATAGGTTGGTTCCACAGTCTAGCTATTTTATCTACAAATTACAGAAAGTCAAGTCAGACTTCCCTAAGAGGAGAATTCAATAGCCAAAAACACTAGACAATCAAGGGGCAAGAATGGCTTCAGGCATGACTCTACTCAGGAACCTCTATCTTGGCTCTGCTTTATTTTGCTTTGGCTTCATTCTTAAGGATCCTTCCCACGTAGTGATAAAATAACCACTAGCAGTTTCAGGTTGATTTTTTTGACCCCCATTTGAATAACTCCAACAGAAAGAGTACTTTCCAGCAAGCATTTTGAATACATTGTTTTCAGCAGAGGTAAGGGATGGACATAAGAATCTAGGAGTTAGCAGCAAGTCAGGGATAGTTAAAAATCACTGGAGTAGAGTGAATGTAGATGCCCAAAGAGAGGAAGTAGAGTGAGACATGTAGAAAGTAAAGGCAAGAACTCCAGATAATGATGTTTAAGGACTGTCCAAGTAGGATCAGTACATACAAGAGACTAAGGAGGTGTGATTATAAAGATAGGTGGAGAACCAGATAATAGTGGTGTTACAAAAACCAAAGAACTAGAAACCACATCGAGTTTCATTATTAGGAGAATGGATAAATTGTGGTATATGTATAAAATGACATACTACATAGCAATAAATAAGAATGGGCTGTAAATACACAAAACAACATGGATAAATATAACTGACATTTGTTGTGCATTAAGTAGCCCTACACAAATTAGGGTAAGTGGGCTTTCTGAGGGTGGTAGGAATGAGATCTGATTCTCATTTTCACAGGCATATATACATGTAAACTGTGTGTGTGTGTGTGTGTGTGTGTGTGTGTGTGTGTGGTGGTGGTGATTGGACCCAGGATCTGTGCATGCTAGGCAAGTGCTTCATCACTGAGCTAAATCCCCAGCCCACATGTAATATTTTTTGAACTGTACTCTGAAGATTTGTACACTTTATTATTGTGGGAACAAATGCATGGAGTACTGCATACATGGCATACATTAAGGGCATCTGAGTGGCAGGCCACTTCCCTAGAGCTTGGTGTGTGAGCGGCAGACCTCTTACCCCGTAGGCACATCCCTGGGTGTGAGGCCATGTGTTGCTGTCCCAGGGCTTGCTCCACGGCCTGCTCCTTGATTGGTCATAGGAGTAGAATGAATGTAGATGCCCAAAGACAGGAAGTGAAGTGAAACATGTAGAAAGTAAAGGCAAGAATTCCAGATAATGATGTTTAAGGACTGTCCAAGTAGGATCAGTACATACAATCACAGTTAGCAAGAAATTGTGTTGATGGCTGCCTATAATCTGCCTAGCTACTGCCTGAGTATATATCCATGGTAACTATGCGATAAAATCAGACCTGCTTCCAGCTTGGTCTCTGAAGGTCTTGATTAGTGACTCTGCAGCCACAGTCTCCTCAACCCTGTTCTGTGGACCGCCTCGCTGGACGAGAGAGAGCCCACATATTATATGTAAGTTATACCTCAGTTGGAAATAAAAAGCCAAAGAATCAAGGGAATTTTGAAAAGAAATGAGTGTACGCGGTGCCAAGTGTCCACAGTTCTTGCCTAGTAAGATAAGGACTGCAACACTAGATGGTATGATCAGCTGAGAAAAAGAGTGCTGACTTCCAGGATGCTAATGTTTTCGTGGTAGGTGCAGAATAATCTCGGTGAGCTGAATTGAATTGCTGGTGTGCAATAACCTTTCCTTATTTAGGCAAGAAGTACTGCCTACGAATGGATCAGGGCATTTCCGACCACACCATTAGCAAAGAAAGAAGAAGAAGAAAAACAGTCAGAGACAGAAAATACGGAAGAAGTCAATAAAAATTCAATAGAGGTAAACAAAGCAACTAAGCTTTTTTTTTTTTTTAATAGATTTGAGATGTGGGTATTACAATTGAGGACCCAGTGTCCTTCTGTTTTGTTGAACTGCTATCCATCATTTCAACCTCGTGAAGCCAAATTGTAGTATCTTAGTTTCAGGCACTAGAAGTAACCCAGAAGTAAAGAGAGAGAATGCAAGTAAGCGTGCGCACAAATACAACAAAAGGGTGCATGTGTGTTTGGTCCCAAGGAGAGTTCCCAGAAAGGGCCACCAGATGCTTAATGTAAATCTTTTGGCCAAAACTTAGTCACACCCGACTCTAGGGGAGCCTCTGTTTTTTTTTGAATTTTTTAGTCATGACTGTAGCTGTAAAAGTACATCACTACTGTGGAAGAAGATGAGAAAGCTTATTAAAGAGTGACTCTACTCTCAAAATATTGAATTATTCAGAATGAAAGAAGCAAGGTGGTGTCATTGCCTTGCAGATTAAAAACAAAAAACTAAAACCTAATGTTTTATTTTGTTGTGCTTTCTTTTGTTTTTCCATTCAGGATATCCATGCATTTGCAATTCGAAGCCTAGCAGAATTGACTGCCTGCTCTATTGAACTATTTCACAAAACAGCAGCGTTAGTTCTGCATGGTGGGAAGCAGGAAGTGACAGCCATAGAAAGGAGCCAGACTCTTTCCCAGTAAGTGTAATGAATATCTCTTAAAGATAAAAAGGGCTGGGACTGTGGCTTAATCCCCAGTACGTATGTACGTATGTACATATGCATACATACATACATAAATAAAACGGCACTAATTGCTGAAAGAGTTTTCTTGGCTTAATTTCCAAAGTTTTTTTTTTTCTCCCCTCCAGATTTTTTTATTGGTGCCTGATAGTTATATAAAATTAGTTTCCAAAATTTTTAGAAATGTCTATATCGTCTAGGTACTATTTATATCATATAATATTTGCATAGTAAAAGTTTTTTCATTTTAAGTGTTTCTTTTTACTGAACTATTGTATTATAAACCTGCCCTTTTTTATTAACCAACTCATGCTCTGAAAACTGCATTTTGCAGATTGTTAGTGTGAATAGGAATGGAATTTGACATAAGTGAAACAGAAAATAGTTCTAAGAACTTGAGTTTTTAGTTATTGAGTGCTAATTATATGTAGGCACCATGCTGCGGGATTCACATGTATTCTGATTTTTACAGTAACCCAAGGGATTAGTTCAGCTTTAACAAAGAGGAAATGCAGACTCAGAAAAGTTAAGTAATCTGCACAGGTTGTGCAACCTACGATTTAGACATAGGTCTGACTATGTCACACATCCATTCTTTTTTTCTGACCTTATTACTGATCTTGAGAAAAAAGTATTCAAAATATAATGTTAAGTAATCACAGGAGGAAGAAAAAAGGCCCAGTAGTTTCTAAATAGATCTCCTTATTTAAATGAGAATTTTTATTATGAAAAAAAATGTCCGATGTGTTAGAATTGGGAATGGCTACTGATATTCTCCAGACTGGCCTCTTCAGCAGCAGCAGCATGGTCCCTCTATGACATCCCATGGGGGGATTTTTTTGTTTTGTCTTGAACACCCTTAAGGATGAGAGTGACGCAGCTGTGATCGTGTGAAAAGTCGCTGTTCTTGCTACTCTGATTGTTCTTCCAGGCATATCTCATACCTGTACAGAATTCAGCTTTCTACTCAAATGCCACCTTCTCAAAGACACCTTTCTTCATCGTAGTCTAAAATAGCATCTCTCATCATTTTCTAGTCATTATTATCTGCTTTATGTAGCTCATATCACTACCTAGTAACATATATACATGTGTTTATACATATGTATACATATTCAAATATGTGTGTGTAATGTTTGTATGCTGTCTTCCTCTTAATTAGCAAGAAAGTTCAAATCCATGCAAACTAGTACTTTACTGACACATCTCCAGTGCTTAAAATAGTGCCTGGCATATAGAAGACTTTCCATAAACATTTTCTGTTTTAATTATATTTCTAAATGGAATGTTGGGTCTTTTAAGTATTGTGTCCTTTAATGCATTTTAGGTATTTTCTTCGATTTAACTAGTACTTTCTAGAGAATTTTGTAGGGAAATGTTTTTATAAGGCATGGACTTTCTCTTCCTGTAGCATGAATGTCTGCTCAGATGGATCTCCAATTACATTAGGAAGCTGATGTAGGCATATTTATACATTTGAAAGTTTCTTGTGTCACGTTTCTTTAACTAAGTGATTTGTTTTCTTATGACAATTGTTAAATGTAACAGAGAGAGAGAGAGAAAGAGAGAGAGTGAGTGTGTGTGTGAGAGAGAGAGAGAGAGAGAAAGAGAGAGTGTGTTAGAGAGTGAGAGAGAAAAGAACCCTCCTGATTTTCTTCATTATTTTCTAGGATGACAATTGTATTGTGTAAAGAGTTGTCCTGTCTGTCTAAAGAGTTTACCACCTGCCTAACAACTGCTGGGGTAAGAATGGGCTAATGTCATATAACTGTTTTTTTAAACAGCTTAATTGAGATATAGTTGATGTGCTATAAAATTCAACTGTGTCAAGTATTCAATTCTATGGATTTTAGTATATTTACAGAAATGTGCAGTAATTATTATGATAGAATTTTAGAACATTTTCATCATCCCCCCCTTCTAATCATAATATATTAGCAGTCACTCTTCATTTCTTTCTCTTCCTTACTCCCCCATCCCTGGTGATACAAATTTATTTTCTTTCTTTGTAAATTTTCTTATTTTGGACAATTCATGTAAATGAAATCATATATTATGTGGTATTTTGTGTCTTGATTTCCTTCATTTAGCATAATGTTTTTGAGGTCTGTCCATGTTTTAGCATATCTCAATCAACATTTCATTTTTTTATACCTTTATTTTATTTATTTTTATGTAGTGCTGAGAATAGAACCCTGTGCCTCACAAAGGCTACGCAAGTGCTCTTCCACTGAGCTACAACCCCAGCCTAGCATTTTATTTTTATTAGTGCATAGTACTCAATTTTATGGAGGTACATATGTATTTATGTGTTTGTATATATGTATACCTGTATACACATACATACATATATACCCATTTTTTTATCTTCATTTGATAGACATTTAGTGTATTTCCACTTTCTGACTGTAATTAATAATGTCATGAACAAGCATATATGACCTTTTGCATGAACATTTTCATTTCTCTTGGGTAGTTAGAAGTGGATTGCTCTGCTGTATGGTTAATAATAGCCCATTGAGTAACTGCCTAGTTGCTTTCCAAAGTGACTGCACAATATTGCATTGTCACCAGTGATGTAAGGGTTCTCCTTTTTCTACATCCTCATCAACACTTGTTATTGTCTTTTTAATTTTGACCATTTTAGTATATAAAGTGGTATCTCATTGTAACTTTGATTTGCATTTCTCTAATGGCTAATGATATTGAACATATTATCTTTTACTTGTTGGTCACCTGTGCAGCATTGGAGAAATGTCTGCTCGAGTCCTTGGTGCACTTTTCCCCCATGTTTTAAGAGATGGGGTCTTACTGTGTTGTCGAGGCTGACCCTAAACTCATGGGCTGAAGTGACCCTCCTGCCCCAACCTCTTAAGTAGCTGGGACTATACTTGCATGCCACTGTGCTCACCTGGCTTATTTTTTTTTTTAATTGGACTGTTCTTTCTTTTTATTATTAATGTATAGGAGTTCTTTTTTTCTGAATGTAAGTTTCTTACCAGATATTTTCTCTCAGCCATGGATTGTGGTTTCACTTTCTTGATAGTGTCTTTTGCACAAAAGTTTAAAAATCTCGATGAAATCAGATTCCCAGTATTCTCTTTTATCACTTGTGCTTTCTGTGTTATAGTATCTAAGAAATCATGAAGACTTACTTTTGTGCTTTCTTCTAAAAGTTTTGTTTTAGTTCTGGTGTCTGATCTGTTGTCTGATCCATTCTTTTTACCAATTTAATTGTCTTGGCCCCTTTCTGGACTCTCATTTATATTATGTTGATTACTATGTGAGTATCCTTATGTGAATACTATGTTGTCTTAATTAATGTAACTTTGAATCAAAAAGTATGATTCTAGCTGGGTAGGCTACTCAGGAGAGTGAAGCAGGAGGATTACAAGTTTGAGGCCAACCTGGGCAACTTAGTGAGAGCCTATCTCAAAATAAAATAAAAACGGGTGGTGATGTAGCTCAGTGGTAGAGTACTTGCCTAGTTTGTGCTAGGCCCTGGTTTAATTCCCAGTACTTCCCCTGCTCACCCCCCTCAAAAAAATATTTTCTTTTCCAAGCCATTTTAATCATTTGGACCCCAGGCATTTCCATATGAATTTTAGAGTCAGTTAAAGTTATGTCTAACTTATTCTTACAAACTCTTTTGTTCTCTCTTCTATGAAGTCTTCATTATGCTTTGTGCTTCCTAGACCTGTATTGAAAATATAGACCTTAATAAAATAACAAGCCCAAATTTTTTGCTCTGACTTTTAAAGAATAGCTTCTTAATTAGACACTGGTAACATTCATATTGTATAGTTGCTAGCCAGTGAGAGAGCTGTAATTAACATTAAAGTTGTTTTTTTTTTTTTTTTAAATTGGAATTACAAAAATTTACTGAAGGCATGTACCATGAATTAGGATAAATGAAGGCATTTTAATTGGTGTATTATTATACCTAATAGTGACATTCATTTTGCGTTATTCATACAGGCACATATCTGATCAGTTTTATTCCCCAGTACCTCCCCTCCTCTATCCTACTGATCCCTTTGTTCTATTTTACTGTTCTTTCTTCTGTTATTATTTTTTAATTAGAGCATTATAATTACATATAAATTCTGGATTCATTGTGGTAAACTCTTAAGGACTCAGCATAATTGAGTAGATTTTGCTCCCCATTCCTTTCTCTTTCTCCCTTTCAATTCCCTTCTACTGTCTTTATCTCCCTTCCATTTTCATGATATCCCTTTTTTATTCCTTTTTATTTTCTTTAGCTTCCACATATGAGAGAAAATATTCAATCTTTGACTTTCTGAGTCTGGCTTATATCACTCAGCATATTCTCCAGTTCTGTTCCATCCATTTTCCGATAATTTCATTCTTCTTTATGAAATGTGTATATACACCACATTTCCTTCATCCATTCGTCTCTTACAGACTCCTAGGTTGGTTGCATAACTTATCAAGGGCATTTTAATCAAGTAAATGAAAAAAACTTTATAGTAAGTATGAAGTGTGGTGGCAAAGTTACTATGGGGCCCTAAATTTGTTTTAATTAAGAACATGGCCCAAATTCTTAAATTTGAGATTAGATTATTCATAAGGGTAATCTTAGAATATAGCTCTTCTCTCTCTTTTTAGTATTTTGTTTCTATTTGCTGAAAAATTAAAAATGTTTAGTTGTGCTATAGAAAATACTTAATATGGAATGAAATTGCTTAATGGGATTTGCTCTGAAAATGTGGTGTGTGTGTGTGTGTGTGTGTGTGTGTGTGTGTGTGACAGTTCCAGATAATGTTAGTATTTTTGGTAAATATATTTGAAACCATAAACTTGGGTTCCTTGGGGTCCAAGTCATGGGATAAAAATGTTCCTTATTTGGCTGCTGTGGTCTAAGAGAGGAGGGGAGAAGGAGGGAACTGCTGGACTTGGGGAAGGGGGGAGGCAGCATTTTGCCAGAGGTCCTGTGAAGACAAGAATGACGGGAGAAGAAGAATTTTGGCACTTAAGACGTAGGGGAAATTTCTTGTAAGAGTGTATGTGCAAACCAGAGTTAGTATTTTCTTTAAAAGATCTCTGGTTTCCTGAAATTAATTGTATAAGCCACAGTGTTTTGTACTTTAACAAAGTGAATCAGCTATAAAGTACTAACACATGTATTATATTTGCACTATTTATTTGCATGAAATGAGATTTTTCCAAACAGCCTGTCTTTAAAAAAAAAAAAAAAAAACTTTTTTTGAACACATGTTCTATATACGTTTTGTTTTCAAATTTTTCTAAAAGTTTGTGGTCAGATGTACCTTTCCCACTGTCTCATACAGAATGTGGGTACTTTTAAAAATTTATATAAAAAAAAACTATAAAGAGGGTGGGGGTATAGCTCAGTTGATAGAGTGCCTGCCTCACATGCACAAGGTCCTGGGTTCAATCTCCAGCACCACCAAAAAAACAAAACAAAACAAAAAAACCTACCAAGAAAAGTAATCCCAATTTGGATAGCAGAGAGTATAGAGAAAATTAAAAGCACTTAAAATTTCACTTTCCAGAGGTGAAATTTTCCTTTCTCTCAATCCAGATATCCTATGTTTATATTTGTGTGTTTCAAAGTGGGATTATATTCTACCTGTTGTTTAAGGTTATCTTCTGACAACATTGTATCCTTTATTCTAGATTAAAGAAAAGGCAGATGTCCTGAATCCATTAATCACTGCAGTCTTTCTAGAGGTTAGTAATAATTGTTTTTAAGTCTATGATTCCAAAGGCATTTTGTATTTATTAACTCTTATTAAGTCTTTAGCTTTTGACTTTTTTGGGGTTTTTTTCACCAGATTAGTAGTTTGGTGCAGATATGGACAAAGTGGTGTATGTTTGATGTGTATTTTATTGCAAGGCATAGAAGTTGAAGCTGCAGGATAATGTGGATTGGTAGGAGCAATTGGCTGTCCTTTTTTAGTCCCTTTCCCTTGACAGCTTAACATATAATTTCCAGTAATGAAATTACTTCTGGAGACCAGCTGGTAAACATGAAGGGATGAAATAGGCAAGCACTACTTTCTAAAGGACTAAAGCTTATGCAGGAGAGGTGTTTCAAACAAAACATTTTGTCATTTCCTTTCCAAACAATCTTAATTTTTTTTTTTGTCTAATAGGTACCTATGTTTACATAATCCTCATGGAGGGTTTAAGTCTCTGGAAAGGGATGGTGTGCAAGCATCCCATGACTGATTTGTATTGCCTCCCTAGGGATGGTTTCTGGATACCATGTTTGAAGAACTGTTGTCTTGTAAATTAATTGTAAAGGCAACTTTAGACTTTTGATGATCTGTTTAAGACATATTATTTATCTTAGAGTAGGGAAGACAAAAATATTGATAATTGGTTAGGTTTTAAATATGAATTTTTTAATACTACTAGACTATTCTCCAGTTTTAAATTATTTAAAAATTACCATTAAAGAAATACTTTTAGTTTCTTAACTACACAATTTTATTTAAGCAGTCTGAGGAACTCTTTTGATCACTTAAACAATTTTCTTTTTTTTTTGGTACTGGGTATTGAACTAGGGGGCACTTGACCACTGAGCCACATCCCCAGCCCTATTTTGTATTTTATTTAGAGACAGGGTCTCAGAGTTGCTTAGTGCCTTGCTTTTGCTGAGGCTGGCTTTGAACCCTCGATCCTCCTGCCTCAGCCTCTTGAGCTGCTGGGATTACAGGTGTGTGCCACCAAGCTCGGCTTAAACAATTTTTTAAAGGATAATTTTGAGATTTAGTAAATGGCAGAGTGGCAGAGTTGAAAGAACTTTGCAAACCAACAGCACAGTCCTGTCCTTGATTATCTTTGACTTGCTGTATAACACTGAATCAGAAATTTGCCCTTCTTGGTAACCTTATTATTTTTAAGTGCAAAATAAGAGATCTAACCAGATGATCTTTGGGGTGTTTTGGCTGGAAAATGTATTGTCAAATGTCACATTGAAGTTTATATCAAAGTACTAGACAATGATAAATCCAGAAAAGATGATCTTACTTGATATGAATTGCCTCTTGTTTTTTCTTTTTTAGTTGATTGTTTTTGCTTACAGATTTGAAACACTTTTGTCTTTGAAGTAATACAATTTTATCTTAGTGTAATGAAGTATCTGTTGTTATTATTCTGGAAGGTGAGAGCTTGTTAGATATAAATGAAGTCTGGCAAACTCTGAGCATAATGATTTCATAGTGCTTCTCACAAACAGACATTTCTATCTATACTGTTTCATCTTTAAAGCAGTGTTCCTTGTTTATGTTTGTGAGCAGTTCTCTTGTATTAATGATTGCATTGAGGCCATCGAAGAAGAGCTACCATAATGGGCTGGAAATTCCATAGTGCAGGATTCATTCATAGATTCCTGAAAGCATCTTTCAGTAATTGACTACAGTGCTGTGACAGAAACTACCCACTCAATTAAGGAATAAATAAACGTTGCATGCCAAGTTTGAGCAGGATATCAAACAGCTACCATTTCTGATAGGCAAATTGGGAAAAAAAATGCTAAATTCTTTTTTGGTACTGTGGTATCATCTCAAGAATTAGGTTTTTTTTCTCTAAAATAGAGTGTACTGCAGTAGTAAGGTCTGTGATCTTACTTGGCCGGCTACAAATTCATTTAGATTACAAATATTGATTTGTTTTATTATCTTATATTTATTTTACGTGACTGTGATTGTTTTCTTTTTCTTGTTTTTTCAATCCCCCCCAGGCATCAAATAGTGCCTCTTACATCCAGGATGCCTTTCAGCTACTCTTACCTGTGCTGCAAATCTCTCTCATTGAGAACAGGACGGAATTACCCAGGCAGGAGCTACAAGTCCAGAGGCCTTTGCCAGAACATTGAAGAATAGAGAAGATTTGACCTGAGATTTGTGATGGCTAAGAAGTGCCACTTTCTTCAGGGTACCCCTGCAGAAATGAATGAGGAAGGTTATTTTAATATATAAAAATTCAGGCAGGAGAACAGGTTTAAAGAGGAAGTTTGTTTCTTCACTTGGCTGAAGTATTCAAATCCTCACACTATTCCCAGTTATTGACATATTATTTGAAAAAACACTTTGTGGAAAGTCCAAGAATATAAGCTCTAGGTAAAGTTTTAGTGGGACACTCAGGCAAAAATATTGATCTATTTTTGACATGCTGCAAAACACTAAAAATTTTCTCATGGATATAATCTGTAGCCCATGGATAAAATTGTTGTAAAAAACAGGAGGAAAAATCCCTTAATTTGGCATTCTAGAATTTATGACATACTTGGTTTATTAATGCCATGTACTTTCTCCTTTCTAGAATAAAATCTATGGCTTTAAGAAAACTGAGCATATATAAACTCTAAAATGATTACCCTGTATCATGTGATTCTTGGAAATGGCTAGGAAGTTTCATTTACTCTTTAATTCTCAGTAGATATTTGACATTGAGGAGAAACTTGCAGTATTATACTTTTTCAGGCAAATGAACAAAGTATAACAGATTCCCCTTTGGCTTTAAATGACTCCTGTATCCCTTGATGACAAGCTTCAAGTCATAGGTGATTCTCTCCTCAACTGTATTTAAGACCAATAAGTGCAATTTAGAGAAACAGTTTCATATTTTAGATATTCTTTTTAAGTTGTTTTTCATGCATACCCCATAAGCAGGACAAATTCTGTCACAACCAACCCTAAATGAGTGTTGAGGCTCTTTTGTTAGTAGGGTTTTTGTTGTTTGAATATTGTTAAAGTAAGTCATAGTGTCCCATAGAAGTGATATTCATTTATAATAAGATTTAACCTCTAACACATTTTTCTTCTTTGTTTTAATTTGTTCTTTAGCATGGTTTTAAATACAACTTTTATCTTCTAGATCTTATGCCCTCTTTCTTTCTTCAACAACCAAAATATATTTTGATATCTATTCTTTTTAAAAAAGGTCTCCAACTTTGTGGTTTTTAATGATTCAAGTAACTTTTCTGTGAGCTCTGCCCCATCTTATAACATGTTTAAAATAAAATATAATTGAACTGTTCATAAGTGTGATATTTCACAAATGTCAAGAATGAAAATCATCATTTACTTTATGTGCTATAATATGTGCATTTTCATAGAAGGCTTAAAAATGAAGCATTCAGAAATGCCGATGTTATAAATATTCATGCCTCTTAGTTAACATGTCATCAAAGCCCCAGGTTAATACATAAGAGGAATTCTGAAAACCTGCCCACTGACTTGCCCATCTGCATCCTGATGCCTCCCCAAGCACCAGTCTGCTCATTTCTCCATTTTACTTGAGACCCCATCCGTGCTTGTTATTATATCATCTGGCCAAAGTCCCATCATGTCTCAACTATCACTTTTCTTATCAGGAAAATTACAACAAAGAACAGTTCAAGTAGTCTCTTATCTCTCTTGTGTTTTGAGTTAAAGACAAAGAAAGGTACCATGATCACTTCACTCTCACAAATCAATGTTGAACTCGCCAGATATTTACATTTCTGATAGGCTTACCCTTGTACAGAGACTGCAAACTGAATGAAAAAAACAAAAGCGAAAACCATCATCTGTTTCTACTTGTCAGCCTCACATTTGTCCTTTTCCATACATGCTGGCCATGGCTGTGCTCTTAAACTAATTCTGAAGTTAAGTCGTTTTTCTAACTTGAGTGTGAATGCAGCAATATACTAAAAAGTTTTAAGCACATTTGTAAATTGGAATGGAGGTAGTTTGTCATAAAGTTTTTATCTGCCAGTTTCACCTAGGTAACTGTTGCAATGAGCCTATTAATTTCAACCAAATCAGATTAAACCTGAATAGCCTACATAGGTATTGTAATAAAGTATTGGACTTTGAAGTGTTTACTACAGCTGGATCTTCATTTACCTATCCCACATGTCATTGGGACTTACTCAAACTGCATAGTTAGCTTGTGTTGAAGCAAAAGTTTCAAAAAAGAATCAAATATTATATATTTCTAACATTCTAACATTTTTAACAGACACGTAAGTGACTTCTGTATTTAGCTTACTCACCATTGAATTCCCAGCTTTCTGGAATTATAGTCTGGCCGATGGTAGGAAGTATTTGTTGTTTGGCTGAAAGAAAAAGAAAAAAGGAGGAAAAGAAAGAAGAGAGGCCAGAAAAAAAAAAAAAGAAGTAAAAGAATAAATGCAAAAGAAAAAAGATAATGTGGTGCTTTTGTACCAGCAGAGAGTACATTGGGTTGAAACTCCTGGTTCACAGCTATCCACAGTGAGGCCTCATAAGAGGAAGTGACTCCCTGAAGTTGTACAACTGGTGGTGGGCTCAGCTGGGACCTGCACCCAGGTCTTCTGATCCCAGTCTGGGCCTCCATGAGGCCAGAATCACACCAGAGTTCTGCATATTTTGTGGATACAGCTTCCCTGACACTGGATTTGATGCTGGGGAAGCAAAATGCAGAATGTCCCATGGGAGTTTGTGCTGGTGCTACTTGTCTGAGCAGTCTTTACCTTGTAGTTGCAATGTCCTCTGAGGTAGGAAGTGAGGCAGCTGCTGTTACAATGAATTATGACTCTGTTGGATGAATTAGTCTCAAATCTGATTGTGATTGTTGAGTTAGTTCAGCACAGCAAATGTTTGCAGATGCATCCATCAGTACCCTCAAATTGCTACTTTTATTCATTCAGGGCCTTGAGCAAGCACTCTTCCAACTGAGCTATATCCCCAGCCCTTGCTACTTTTAGTTTTGTGGTTTATATTTTAAAGGGCCATTTTTTACTGTGTATAGCACTATGAAACCGTCTGCTGTTCATCAACCACCAATAGCTAAAAGAGGAAACAACACATGGAGCAGTTTGAAAAGACAGCACCACAGACTAAATACACTTTTCTCTTTAATCCTCATAGCTGCTCTGGGAGGCAGGGCTGCAGGATGGTGCAAAGACAGGTTTATATATGAATCTTGGCTCCCTTGTTTTCTAAGCCATATGACAATGGGGAAGTGACTTTTTTGTTTTGTTTTGTTTTGTTTTTTTGTACCAGGAATGGAACCCAGAGGCCCTTAGCCATTGATCCACATCCCCAGCATTTGTTTTTTTTTTTTCCTTTTTAAAATTTTTGATACAGAGTCTTGCTGAGTTGCTGAGGCTGGCTTTGAACTTGAGATCCTCCTGCCTCAGCCTCCCGAGCCGCTGGGATTACACGTGTGCACCACTGTGTCATCCAGTATGACTTACTTTCTTAAATTCAATTTTATTTTCTATAAAAACAATCTCTTAACAATAGTTGCATTATAAAGTCATTCTTAGATTAAATTATCTGCAAAGTGCATAATAGTGCCTGCTGTATAGCAATATGAGCTAATGCTTAATGAGCACTGCATGTTAGACACTGTTCTGAACATGTATTATATGTACTGATTACCTGTATTTATTCTTAATAACAAGTCCACAGGACAGGTATTATTAACATGCCACTTACAGATGGAAAAACAGGTACACAGAGGTTAAGTAACTTGCCCAAGGTCACAGAGCCTAAAGTGATGGGGCCAGAATTCAAAGCCAGATAGCTTGGTATCAGAGTTCCTGCTTCTATCCATTATGTTACACTGACCATAAACTTCCAGTAAAGAAATCTTAGCAACAAATATTTTATTATGATCACTATGAAGCAGATTGAGAGGGTTAAGTGACTTTCAAATTTCACAAGTATATGTGGCAGAGCCTCTGCAGTATGAGCCTTGGTTGTGTGGTTCCCAAACTCATGTTTGTTCTGTTTTATTCCTTTAAAGTAAAAGGCCCAGAGGTGCTTATCTAGTGATAATATTTATATGGAAGCATCTTGGCAGATTATTCAGAACCACTAGGACTTGGCATAGAAAAGATAACATGGTGACAAGTCATATTTGCCACAACAGGAACAAGGACCTCAGTGAAGTAGGAGCATCTGTATCAATTAGTGACAAAGGGAAGAGGAGAACATGAATGTGCATAGCAACTCTGTAATAGCCCCACGCTGGAAATGATGCAGCTCTTAAATGATTAAACAGTTTGTGGTATGTCCATACCATGGATTGCTCTCAGCAATTAAAGGAACACATTGGTACATGTAAGAACTTGGATGAATCTCAGGGGATTATGTAGAGTGAAAGAAAAATCTAATCACAAAAAGGTTACATACTGTACAATTCCCATTTATATAACTAACATGAAAAAATGATATAAATGGAGAATAGAGTAATAGTTTCCAGGGTTAGGGATGGGGTGGGAAAGGAAGACGATAGGTGTGGTTTTAAAAGGGCAACAGGAGGGATCTGGAGATGGAGTGTCTTTGCTGTGATTGACACAAACCTATACATGGTGGTGTAAATTTAAATGCAGACACACAAGTACCCCACAAATGAGAACAAGGAAAACTAAGGAATCTGAGTAAGATCAGTGGATCATTATCAATGCCAGTATCTGGGTTGTGAAACTACTTTAGTTTTGTAAGATGTGACCTTTGGGGGAAATTGAGTAAAGAATACACAGATTATCTGTTTCTCTGTGGGAATCTACTATCATCTCAATAAATATTTTAACTTTAAAAAAAGGAGGAGAGCTTTGGGCCAAGGGAACCAAAGAATCAAGAAGTGTTACCCACTTTCTGGGAGAATTTAACAAAAACCCAGTGGTTCATGTCCTCATCACAGGGACTCTTGTAGAGGTGGCAGGTGGGCTCAATCTGCCTCTTACTAGGCAAGTGCTTTGGTAGCAGGTTTGTAAGTGGGATGAGATAGTGCAGGAGGGTTTTGAAGTTTTGTAATGGATTCCTATCATTTTTTATTGAAATCCACCAATTCAATAGAAAAGATGCTTGCAGAATTGTTCCTAATATCATTAAAGCCATATCCTGATTCAAACAGGCAATGAAAACTCTTCAGATTAAATAAGAGCTAAACAAAGGTTTTGACAGTAGCTACCCGGGACAGTTGGGTTCTAATGTAGTTTGGTCTTGGCTTAGCCTCTACCTCACAGGATTTATACTGAGGTACTTTATATGGAAGCATCTGGGTAGATTATTCTGAACCACTAGGACTTGGCATAGAAAAGACAGCATGGTCTTCACAATAACTCTACAAAGCCAAAACTACTCTTCTATCTCCACTTGTGGTCTGCAGAGATTAAGGCATTAGCCTAAGGTCACATTAGCCTAAGGTGGTGGAGTGGATTCAACCCTAGTTCTGCTTATGTTTATGACCACCACATTAATTTCTTTTTATTTCTCAGTCATCAAAAAGAGGAGATTGGGCCAAGAGCTTTGGATTCTCCATGGCTTGAATGAATACTCAGTCAGTTAATTTTGACCTGAGTGAGGTACAGCAGGTAGTAAAGCAATAAGAATAGCTAATCTTGCCCTACAGGATATAGGATAAGATATAGGGCAGGTTGAGGGAGAGAAGCAGACATTACAGAGAGGGTAATGGAATAATTTGTCATTCTTGGAAGGGATGTGACCTACTTAGGACTTCCCAGTATATCTTAATTGTGAAAAATAAGCCCCTTCTCTCTAATAGAAATTAGGCTGTCTGAAGAGTCCTGTTGGATGAATGCATATTCTTAGCTTGTTTCTTTTGATTACCTAAAATACAGGCAGTGGGAAGATAAAACACCTATGTGCTGGCTCATTCAAATTCATATAGAGCTCACCTGAAAAAGAAATGGGTGCTGTTCAGAAACCACAGAAAGGAAAACCAGGATTCACTAAAGGTTGAAGGTGGAAGAGAGATGCCAAGACCCAAAGTCAGAGAGGAGAGAATGCAGAGTAGCAAAAACAAAACAAAGACTGTTGAAGTTTGTATCTTCTGCATCTCATAGTTGTTTGGGTTCAATGAGACTTTGGGAGGGAGGTTCTTGATTCTTTTATATCTTCAGGGTTTGTATGGACACTCAAATGGGATTGGGGTGAGGGACTATAGCTACTTAGTGAGGGTAGACCCATCAGCCGTCAGAGACCACAGAAAATCTACAGTGGCTTGCAAGCCTCCCTTGCTCACTCATCCTAGGGAGGCACAACAGCAAAATGTTGACAAGCAAGAGTGAACTCTGGAGCCTGGCTCCACCTCTTTCTGTGAACTGTGAACTGTGTGTCCACTCTTTCTGCATCTTTTTAATCTGTAAAATGGGTAGTACCTGCTTCAGGGGGTCGGGTGAGGTGATGAACACATGTTCTCGGCACAGTGCCTGCCTGGCCATAGTGCTCACTCTGTTCATTTAAGTTATGATTATGACTACAAGATGGCAGGGGATATTTTGCAGCTTAAAAAGCATTCTGCTATTCTGCTGGCCATTCTCTGTCTTACATGGTGGCTGAGTAAAGAAACTGGGCTTCTTGCCTTAGTCCTTTAGCTTTCCTTTCTTATCCTCAGTTTCCTTAAACAAATCATGAATAGAGCTATCTCATCAGCAGGTCCTTGCTGATGCAGGCAAGGTCATACAGTGTCTAGTAACAATGATGTCACCTTCCATTTTTATCAGATTTTTAAGGAATTTTACATAAGTAGTTCCATTCCCGTTTTAAGATGGGGCAACTGAGGGCTGTGGAAGTCAGGAGGAGTGTCCACAGTCATTTGACCCTTAGGTAGCTGTGCTGAAACATGTACCTTTGGAATTTTTTGTTGCAGGGAGGGGCACTCACCTTCATCTCACACAACAGATAAAGCCCTCCTCTTTGGACCAGGCAAACATCTCTCAGTTGACAGCAGATATTTTCAGGTCTCAGGGCTTTCCTAACTTCCTTACAAACCCAAGTAGGCTGTGCCTCCTCTGTCCAGGTGAGAGGCCAACTATGGTGCAAATAGTGAAGCCTTGATTGTGGCTAGAGGACACTGGGACACTACTCTGAA